CCTTGGTGGGAAGCCCACGGCACAGCATTGCCCCCCAACAACCCCCCGATCCCTCATTACCCATTAACCCCTTATTGCCCGAATGCCCCCGGAGCAGGGGGAGGTGGGACGGACAGCTGGCAGACCCTGAGCGCCGCGGGCTCCGGCGGTCCCTCCTGGGACGGGGCTGCAAACAGACTCCTCGCCTTCAGGCTGGATCAGATTCCTCACTGCTGGCGCGGGGCGCAGGGAGCCGTGCCCAGGAAGGAGCAGGTGAGGAGGGACCCCGCTGCAGTGAGGAGAGACGCATGAAATCCGCTGGTTCCACCCCCCTGCAGGCAGCCGGGCTGAGTTCCACCCGACGCCTTTTTCCTCCTCGTTCCCTCCTTGCAAGTTTTTCACGGGGAAAGCAAAAATCGCAGTGTGTGGCCCCATGTGCCAGGAGCGATGCCACGGGGAGGAGAGGTGGGATCGCGCCCTCACCACACGGTGGGCATCGGGGGCTGCGAAGGGCCACGTCCTCCCCACCGGCTCCAGCTCAGCCACGCTCGGGAGGGAAGCGCAGGCCGGTAGGTGGGGACTGTCAGCCGCGCTGAGGCCAGCGGCGGCCCCACGGCCGCCAAAAAGCCGGGGGGAAGCGGCGAGCTGCCCCCCCCCAGCACCCCACGGTGCACCTCGAAGCATCGCCCGGTTCGTGCCGTGCCGCCGTTCGGTGCCCGTGCCGCTCGGTGCCGCCGCTCGCAGCCCCGCTGGGTCCGGCTGCCGCTGCCGCTGCCTTTTCCACCCCCCAGGGGCGCCCCCCTCCCTGCTCCACTGAAATCTCAGCTGCCCTGAGCTGGCCCCGCTCCACCGCCGCTCACACGCTGCCGTGCGTTCACGCACGGATTTCCCTCCCCGGGAGCTGATGGGGCAGAAACCCAGGGCTGGGATGGGGGGAGGGGGGGTGGGGAAGGGTCCCCAAAGCCCCCTTCGTGCACCCCGCTGTGTCCATGGCAGTTCGATCCATGGACGGGGGGGCTGCACCCGCTGCTCCCCCCGCTCCTTCCCAGCAGGGCCGGCTGGGCACAGAGCACAGAGCAGCCACACAAGGCTTCTCCGCGGCTCACAGCGAGGAATGAAGGGCTTTGATAAGGGAACACAATGGGGAGGAAGCGGCGGTTTTGGGCCTTCACAGAGCGCGTGTTTTGAAGATGATGGAAAGAGGGCCCGAGCTCCTCGTCTGGGGAAGGGCTGCCTGCGTCCTCACCGCTCTCTGCTCAATGCGCGGCCACACCGCTGCTGTCCCGAGCAACTTCATCGGGCTGGGGCTCTGGGGGGGGGGTAAACCTTCACCAGAGGAGTGAGGATGAGGATGGGTCGGACCGGCTGCCGGTGGGGGGGGAATCAGCTGCCCATCCTCCTCTCCACATCCCCCCCCCCCCGGGAGGAGAAGAGCCGCGGGTGATTCAGCAACAGGAAAACCAAACGAAAAACAATCTCCTGGTGCTAATGGGATTGGTTCTGTCCCTACCACGCACATTCCAGCCCAGCTCGAGGGACGGCTCGGGGGAGAGGGGGAGCAACAAAGCCAAATCCTTTCCCGTGTCCAGGCGGCAGGGATCGGCGCGGTGCCGCTGGCCGGAGCGCCCCATCCGCAGCCGGCACTGCGCTGCGTGCCTCCGCCGGCCGCCAAGTGACATTAATTTTCCATTCCCTGGGCTTCATTACTTCTTGGAACACAGACCGCGTGCGTTGGGCCGCGAGGGGCTTTCGCTTCCCTCCGTGTTTATTCTCGCTGCCGTGTGTTCTTCTGCCAGGTGAGGAGCGCAGCCAAGCTGGTCAGGGGGAGCGCGGCCGTATGGCTGCGGTTTGGCCGCGCGGGTGGGAACGGCTTCCCGCAGCACCTGCTGGGCGCCCGGCGGCGGAGCAACCCGCTGCTCACCGGGGGACGACACGTGCGAGCCGGGCCGGGCCGCTCTGCTGCATCGCGGCTCTGTCGGACGGCGCTGGGGACGGAGAGCGACGCTGAAGGCGGCGCTGGGAGCGGAAGGACGCCGGGTGTCGTGCAGCCGCCCCGCAAAGCAGAGCCCACGTGGCACCGCTGCCGGTTTTCCGCTCCAGCTGGCCTCCAGCTTGCAGGGCACGGCCGTGCCTACACCTATGGGTGCACGGACACAGCTGTTGGCTGTACGGGATGCGACGGCCGTGCTTTCCCCTGGCCAAGGAGCCGGGGGTCTCCATCCCAGCAAGGATGCTGTGACGCACCGTTGCTTCAGCTCTGTGCTGAGCTGCTCTGTGCCCTACGGGAGCACTGTGAGGGAGGAGGAGGGGGTGTGCCGTGCTCACAGCCCCCCGGGAGGCACCGGGAGCATCTCTGTGCCAGATTGCGGCGGTGAGGAGACACGAGCAGGGCGTCCTGATGGGGTGAAATGGAAGGAAGGGGAAGGGAACGGCCCTGGTACGTGCGGGCCTGCCCCAGCCCGTTTGCTTCCCCAGCTCATGTGCTTGCTGGGATTACACGGGGATTAGGGGGAGCAGCCAACCAGGAACGGAGAAGGATGCGATTGCCGGCACCAGAAATGGCACCAGCACCAGAAGTGGCACCAGCACTGTGCCAGCAGGAGACGGAGCAGCGCTGGTGCTGGCGCTGTGTGGAGACAGCGAGCAAGAGAGGTCACCCAACTGCTCCTCTGTACCGACAGCGTGAGGGGAGGCGAGGGGCTGCGTTGTGTTGGGGAGAATGTAGCAGGAATTGGGAAAAAAAGCTCCATCTGATGGCTGCCTGCACCCACAGCCAATGGAGCTGAGCAACAGCAGTGTGCAGAGCTGCTGCTGGGCATTAGTGGGACAAATGTGGGGGGGGGGAAGCCCAGGACTTTATGGGGAGTCTGCAGTGCCGGGGCAGATGTGGAGCACAGATGTGGGACTTGAGGCTGTGACAGGAGGGAGCTCGGGGGTGCTGAGCAGGCCCAGGGCTGGGCCTCGTGCCTGTGGGGCTCCAACATCCCGACGGCTTACAGCGAGCCTCAGGAAAATGAGGGATGTGCAAAGTTTGGGGCTGATCCCTTTGTTTCTTCCCCTGTAAGTTGGATTTGGGCTTTTATGGGGGGATCGCAGCTCTCCACAGTAGGAGAGCTGGGCTGCCCTGGCGGCTGCGTGCAGGATCAATGCATTACAGCAGTGCTGCTGCGCTAACGCTGCTCGTAAAAATCACCTTAGATATAAGTCAGGCTCCGTGGGGATGGGGCTGAGTGCACTCAACAAATAATGAATAGGAATAAAAATAAATATCAAATGGCCCATAAAATCAAACAATAACGGTAACGAGGAAGTTCCTGGATCTGCTGCGAGAGATGGAGTCCCATCGGCAGTCTGGAGCAACACGAAATACCCCCTCTGCTTCCCTCTCCGCATGACACAAGTCAGCACGCCTGGTCAGCAGAGCTGTTATGGAACACATCTCCCTTCCAGCGTCGTATAAATGCATTTTTCATGCTTTTGGGAGACTTCGGGGGTTCTGTTTAACTGGGATCTGGGGAACATGTGAAAGGCATTTACAGCATGCGGTGCTTTTCCTGCCGGGAAGCAGAGGTGCAGCGCTGAGGGCCGGGTGGCAGCAGGGCCAGGTTGGAACCGCGGCCTGAAACAAAAGTGCTTGTGATAATGGACACAGAAACCTGAAAAATGAAATGCGGAGGTGTGAAGTGTGAAGCTGGTAAAGAGGAAGGGGGAGCTGCAGAGAGAAAGCGGCCCGGGAGGAAGCAGGGCGGAATGGATGGGGCTGGTGCTGCAGGATGAGGGCTGGGGGTGGCAGGAGCAGCGATCCCAAAGCGCAGCACGGCGCGGTGGCACCGCAGCCACACAAACAGCAAATTAATGAGTCCTGCTTCCCTTTCTCCCAAAGGTTTCATGGGGCTTAATTAATGAATGTCTGTAAAACGCATTTGGAGCTGGGAATGAAATGTGCTGTGGAAATGCCAAATATTTTTAATGCTCCAGCAGATTTAGAAGGTTTAAATAGGAAAAAGACACAGCGTTGCCTCTGAAATAGATTCCTCTCCTTGAAGCAGAGGGCTGCAGAACATGAAGTTTTCATCAGGCTGACTTGAAAGGGTGTTTTCACGGCTTTCCAAGCCCATTTATTCCCCCTTTCCCTTATACAGATGTGGATGCCGAGGCATGGGAAATCAAAGGGATTTACCCACGCTCGTTGGCAGAGCCACCAGAATGAATAATTTCCGGATTTCCACTGGCAGTGGAATGCCCTCCTGCCCATCCGCCGCCTCCAGATGCGCGGCGGCTTGAGAAATTACACAGCACATGAGGCCAGGCCACGGGCATGGCCATGGGAAGGCAACGAGGACATCAGGTGTGACAACAGAACGGCATCCTCTGCAGTGCAGTGCTGCGCCCACACAGCACGGGCTTCACCTCAAAGCCTGGTCCAGGATGGATGGCTGGGCGAGGGTTGGGGTTGGGTAGTTAAGGTTGGGTGGTTGGGGTTGGGTGGCCGTTGAGGTTGTTTGGTTGTTGAAGTCGGTGGTTGTTAAGGTTGGGTGGTTGCTGGGGTTGGGTGGTTGTTGAGGTTGGGTGGTTGTTGAGGTTGGGTGGTTGTTAAGGTTGGGTGGTTGCTGGGGTTGGGTGGTTGTTAAGGTTTGGCAGTAGCTGGGGTTGGGTTGTTGTTGGGGTTGGGTGGTCATTGAGAGCTTGTCTGACTGTTGAGGTTGGGTGGTTGTTCAGGTTGGGTGGTGCCTGGGGTTCCGTGGTGGCTGAGGTTGGGTGGTTGTTGGGCTCCACTGACTGCCCTCAACGCAGGCAGGTCCGTCCCCAGGCCAGGGGCCATGTAACCACGTAACCCAGAAGGCATTTCACGCACGGAGTCCCGATGGAAATCGTTCAGCACCCGGCTGCGGGTCACCGCGAGGCCGCGCTCACAAAACGAGCGGCCGCAGCGCGCAGCCACGGCGCCGTGCGGCTCAGCGCCACCCCCACCCCCATCTCGGACCCAAAGCCGCTCCGCTCCCCCGGGCCGCGGCACCGCGCAGCCGTTCCGGGCGCCGCCACCCGCGGTCCCCGCGTTTCCCGAGGCCGCTCCGCGGTGACCCCCGGCGGTGGCGGAGCGGCTCCCCGATCCCCGCTCGCCGCTGCGCCTTTAACGCGGCGCCCGCCGCCTCCCAGCCCGGCCCGGCCGCGGCGGCGCAGCGAAGATGGCGGAGTCCGGAGGTGCGGAGTTCGGAGCGGAGCGGCCCAGCAGGTGAGCGGGGCCCGGCGCGGCGCGGGGTCGGGGCGGAGCCGCGGGGCCGCGGGGCCGGGAGCGGGGAGCGGCTCGGGTGGGCGCGGGGCGGGCGGGGCTCGCGCTGTACGGCGGGCCGCTCGGCTCCGGCCGCGCCGCGCTTCGTTCTTCCTTCGTTTTCCGCCTCCGCGGCCGGGCCGCCCCGGTCGGCGTTCGTCGCTCCGAGCGCTGCGGGAGCTCCGCGGCTCCGTCAGCGCGGTGCTGGCGCTCAGTTCGGCCCGGCCTGCGGTGCAGCCACGCGGCCCCGAGCGGCACAGCCGGGCGGTGCGGGGCGATGCGGTGCGGGGCGCTCTCCCCGCAGCACGGACGCATCGCGCTGTGCTCTGCGGTTCCTTCAGCACGGAGCCGGCAGCGCTCAGAAGGCCGCGCCGTCCGTCTGTCCGCGGGTCGCTGCCCCGAGGCGCTGCGGGATGGCAGCGGTTTGTTTCGGGCTGGGATGAACCGCCCCGCGATGGGGCAGCGGCCCCGCGGCGCTCTGTGTGTCCGTAGGTTTGTTTTCGTGGATAATTTAAAACTAAAAGCCGGGTGAAACGTGAGAGTGAGAGCCGCTTCTCGCTGGATGTCAGCGTCACGTTTGAAGTGATGGATTTATTGGAGGATATGGGGAGAAGCCTGCGGGGGACACTGGAGACACAGCACGGCCTCCGTGCAGTAAGAGGAGAATCTCAGGGCCCCGTCCGACCCAAAAGTGCCTCCTCGACAGCTCCTTCTGCCCCTGACCTTTTCCACTTACTGAATATTTGCTCTCTGAGGCAGAGGATGGAGCCCTGCCTCGCCGTTCCTTGCACATGCCATTTCGCTGGTGCCGTTACCCAAACAGCACGGGCAGAATTTCCATCTTTGGAATTGCGACCGCGTGGCTCAGGAGGGCAACGTGCCATGCGCTGCCCAGGGCAGGACGAGGGTGCAGGGAGCCCCTCAGCCCCGTGCTCTGAGCATGGCAGGAGCTTTGGGGCTGTGATGGTGTGAAGCGCAGCCACTGCTCTGCACCCGGTTTGTTTGGGACGTGTGCATGCGGGAGAAGCACTCACAGCACGTTTGTGTCCTCTGCAGCATTCTTCTTGCATATTGCTTTGTTGTTTTAACAGCACGTGGTTAGATTTCTTCTTATAAATAAAAGCAAACAGCCCAAATCTTCCCTTTTGAAATAAACTTTGTTGTTTTTTTTCCTCCTTTCCCTGTTAATAGTTTCCTGAGCTACAGCTGGTTTCGTGTTTTGCCTTGCACGGAAGGAGCTGCAGTGTTACCCTGCTGGTGAAGCTGTGCTCGGTGCTGCTCACAGGGATGCACTTTGGGTTTGGTGAGCAGAACCAGCAGCAGAAACTCTGCGGCCGTTGTGCCCTGAGTCGGGGAAGGCAGTGAGATGTGTGAACTGTGCAGCGTTGCTCACAAAGCACCACGTGAGGTCACACAGAGGTACAGGGAAAACATCTTTCGGGTGCATGGATGGATGCCATCACGTAGGCCTTCAAGCAGGAGTTAATTGGGGTGCCCAGATGTGCTGCTGGGGAGGGCTGTGTCTCTCCAGCCTGGGTTGATCCCATGAGGAAAGGAGGGCAGCCGGGCTGTACAAACACTCCTCAAAGCCCTCCCTAATGCTGTTACACGCTGCCGAAAGCGATCCCACCTGTCAAAACCAGAACGGATGGATGGGGGACCTGCAGGTCCCTCTTATCTGTGAGTACATGTGTGTTCACATCGAGAGGAAGGCAGCCTGAGCTCCCCTAACCCCACTGCTCCCAGAGGGACAGCAGGTCGGCAGGGCACGGCGAGGCAATCAGGTGAAGGAGGATCGCAGCAGGGGCTGTCGGCCTCACCTCCGTGCTGCTGTAACCTCGCACGGCTTCGGTCTTTGCTTGGACATTCTTTCCTTTTGCAACCATGCGAAGTTTTGTGTGGTTTGTGCGTCCTGCACTCTGCCACGTGGCAACTGAAAAGCAGATGTAGTTGTTAGATCTGGTAGACATGGAAATGTTTACACTCTGATTGAATCGCTGTAAAAAATCACTGCTGCTTTCTTGTTCAGTGTTGGGAGACTTTTGAGCTGGAGGCTTTATTTAGACCAGAAGAAAAACCCAGTGATTCTGCACAGGTTTTTCTCTTGCTCAGTATTGGTGGCTCTGTAGAGAAGTCTCACACCGTGAGGCGAAGGCTGCAGTGTCTCTTCCAGTTCCTTATTTGTATGGAAGATGAATTCTGGACATGCAGAGGAATCAGTGCAGATGAGGAAAATTGGGGAAGGGCTGTTCTGCACTTGTGGCTGCCCTGGGTTGCGTTGTTGTGGTGTGAGGTGTGCATGGAGCCAAGCTGCCCAGGAAGGTGTGTGGATGTTTGGGATGGGCCCACACCTGTCTGCAGGTACGTGGGAGGTGCAGGTAAGGAGGGAAGCAGCTGCAGGCGGCCGTGGTGGTGAGATCTGCTCATGGAACTGAACTGGAATTGGTGTTACGGTGCCAAGTGCTGGGGCAGCTGTTTGCATCTGCTGCAAGAAGTGCTTTCTCCAGCTTGCTTAAAAGCCATGGTGGGGGTTTCTTGCCCTGCCTGCTGTTCCATCGCTTCGCATTGCTTTTGCTTGAGATCCCTGGCTGCTCGGGGCGGTCGGCTGGAGGGTGGAGGAGTGGAGTGAGGAGGAGCAGCGTGCTGTGGGTCACGGCAGCGTGGCTCTGCTGCTCCCTGCCTGCTCCAGCACCACTCTGTGACCGCACTGCTGTCACCTCTATTGCAGCGCTGCCTGGAAAATGCTGTAGGGTGCTGCAGAAATGGGCTGAGGCGAGCGCTGCTCTGAGGAGCGCATGGTCGGGTTTTGAAGCTGTCCTCAGTTTCTCACGTGGAGCAAAGGGATCAGTGTGGTTGTGTGGGCTGGAGGGGTCCCTTTCTGCTCTGAATTGCAAGAGGGGCTGAAATGGGCCATCCCTGACTGAAGGGTGAAGACTGAAGGAGCTGCTGCCTTGTGATGAGCTGGGAGGCTGGGACGGGACCTGCTGGATTTTTGGCCGGCGCAGGCAGTGCCTCAGAGCAGCTGAGTTCCACCACTCCCTCTCTGAATGCAAAAAAGGGATCCCACCTTGCTGACCACAGTGAAGGCAGCAGCCCAGCCGTGTCCCTTTGGGGTGGTCCTGGTGGCTGTGCTGTGCATCCCAGCACCACTGGGTGCCTCCCAGCTTTTGCTCAGCTGCTGCTGGTGCTGCAGGGGCGGTGGGTGGGGGTGCAGGAGGCACCCGCTGCAGCTCTGGGGGCTGAACGAGGACAGGGATGTGCTGCAGAGGTCTGGGCTTCTGGTACCTCTGATTTGGTCTCGCTTGCTTTCTTTTCAAGCCAGGGTTTGACTGTAAGGGCACGTGGTGGGAGAACCGGCTGCTGGCAGCGCTGCCTTCAAACAGCATCACAGTGCGTTGGGAGCCATGCAGCGTGGGAATATGGTCACAGTGTGTGCAGTGTGAGATCTGCTGTGCTTCTGGTGGTCCTGGAGCTGGGAGCAGGAGGGGGCAGCTGGCTGCACTGCTGCCCATGGCTGCCACAGTGATTTATGTGCTCTGAGTGACTTTTGTGTGGGCTCAGTTTGCTCCAGGCTCAGTGGGATCGGCTTTGGGGCCGACAGGAATCCGATTGCTGTAAGGTTTGGGGATGGCACCTTCAGGCACTGTGAAAGCACAGGTTGGTGGTGGTGGCACTGCTGGTGGTGGCACAGAGATGAGCCTGGCTCTGATGCAGAAGCATTTTGAAGAATCTCGTTCTTTTTTCTTTTCTTTTTCTCACCATTTGTCCGGGTGCAGCCTGTACTGACCATCGCCTCACGTTGAAACTCCACGAGGTGGCACAGAGTTTAATGTGTTCGGATGTCTCGCCCTCCACTTTTTTGTTCCATGCTCCAATGCACCATTTCACCAGCCAGCTTTTGACAGACATCCAGTTTCATTAGCGCTTGTAGCAGAAACCCAAATCCCACCTCCTTTGGCTTGCAGACAACCTACGATGGAAGTCTAGGCAGAATATCTGTGTGTGCGCTGGGTTCTGCCTGCACCCAGTCGGAAAGCAAACAAGAAGGAGATGCAGACATGTTCAAACTTCTCCTGATACAAAAATAACAGTAATATTAAGACAAAGAAGTTGAAAAGACCTCTGCCTTGCAGTTGGGTCCTGGGGGTTTCCTTGGCTCCAGCTTTGGGACAGGTGGGCTGGAGGATGCTGAAGTACAAGCAGTAAGTGGATGGGGAGGACCAGATTCAGAACTGACAGTAGTGACTCTGTATGGTTCTCCCTTCTCCAGACATTAACTGTAACTTTGAGACTGGAAGTTTAAAAGACAAAAGGTTTTTCAAACCGCTGCTGAATTCTCACTGTTCACTTTGAGACGTTTTGCAGAAGACCATTTTTCCCCACAAAGCATGAAATCTTTCTAAAGCTCGAACTCATCCATGATCTTCATCTGAGCACCCCACATGGCGTGTCACTTCTGAACAGAGATGTTGGTCTCAGGCTTTCCACTTGCATTTACTGCTTTTGATGAACAAGAGGGTGTCAACAAGAGGGAAAATGAGTGGAGGCAGAGGAGGGAAAGAGGAGGAATTAAGGGGAGGAGGTGGAAAAGGGAGCAAAGAGGTTTTGCTCACGTGTCTTTCTAAAGATGACGGAACCATTGCCTTCACTCAGTGCGTTAACATTTAATTAGCTGCCGTGCTAATTGCTGTTGCATTTGCTAAGGACTCAATGGCAGGTGCAGTTCCTGGGGGTTCTGTGGCAGTGCTGTGCTGCTGGGGGGCTCCAGGGGCAGCAATCCTTACAGTGCAGCTCTGCTTGCACCCACGGGGCTGCTGTGGCACTGGGGGGGGAGAGCAGGGTGCCAAAAGCTCCTCTTCAGCATTGGGGCATGTGATAGGGAGCCTTAGGATCTGAGATATTGCAGTAACCATGGCTACCGGTGACTTATCTGAGGGAGTTTGACTTTTGTTTTGATTTTATGTGTCTTAATTGTAGTTTAAAAATCAGAACCTGAATGTGTTTTTCACTTAGGCGTGAAACTGAGGGCATTAAATGATTTGCGTTATTGAAGTATCTATAATGCTGCCTTTCAAACTTATTCTTGAGCAGAGCCCTCAATATTCACGCTGTACGTGCTAAATAAAGTCACTGCAGCTTTGTGGTGGTTCTGTTGCTCTCGCCATAAAAGCTGTTGCAGGCTGGAGTGCTCAGAAGGTGCCTGGCCGGCTGTTTTGCAATCCCAAGCCCTTTGTTTATGTGGCACCGCGTACTTTATGTGAACACACACAAGCTGCTGCTTTTCCTCTGTCCTCTTTTGTACCCCAGCCATGCCCCGCGGGGTCCTGCCTTCAGAGCAAGTGTTTACTGTAGAGGCTGGAAGGTTGCCCTGCTTGGAAATCTTGCCAAGCCCCTTGAGTTCCTCCTGTATGAAACATTACCGAGCACCACCTGCCCAGAGAGCAGGAAAACGTGGGTGGATATGAGCAGGGATGCTGAGCAGGGATGCTGAGCAGGGATGCAGAGCGATGCTAGCACCACAACCATCCCTCCTTCCATGGAGGACCATGTGATGAAGGAAGAGTAGCAAAAGGCCAGGCACTTGTGTAGCAAAAGAATTTTTTCTCTTTGATTCCACGGCTGAAGTGTTTCCTGGTGTGGCTCCCTCTGTTTGTACTTGTGCAGGAGTTACAAACACGCTGAAATATGAACTCATGCTTCGTAAGCCTTTAATTCTCGCTTTGATGTTTTTAATCATCAGTACAGATTTGGTTCAAAAAAAAAAAAAAAAGTGAAATGATTCATTAGCTTGAAATGCATCTTGGATTACGGCCGGTGCTGTGCAGAACAGGGGAGGCAGAGCAGGGCCAGCTGTCCTGAGAGCAGAGCACGGGTGAGGCTGAGGTCGGTGCGGCGGGCGGAACGTCGCCATCAGGGCTGGCAGTTCTTGAAGGCCCTCAAATGTCCCAGCCCATCGGCTTTGAGGTCTCGTGAGCATCCAGCCCCGTGTTCTGATGCTTCCTCACTGTATCTGTTTTGGGTCTGACATCAAGCAGTCCTTGCTTGGGAACATGACAGTTAGGATGTGGGCAGCGCTTGGGGTGAGAAGGAGCACACAGCCATGGTGCTGCAATAAGGGCAGCAGCAAGAGGAAAAATTCTGGGCTTGTTTGCCTTCCCTGCCTGCTGTCTGCCTGCAGCAGCTCCCTTAGCCCTCGCTTTCACCTTCTCCTCATGCACGCGGGTTGGTGTCGGTTGTCCCCAAGCTGTGGTCACGGATCTGTGCTGAGCTCTGTCCTGCAGTGACTGGAGAGGATTGAAAGCAATCTGGCTTCAGAACAGTGGCTTGGAGACAAATCCTCTATCCCATTACTTGTCCCTGGCAGTCCCTTCTTGACAACCAGTTGTCAGTGATGTCAGTGGTCTTGGAGAGGGCTGCCCAAGGCAAGTAGTCCGTCTTCTCAGTGTCTGCATTGAAATCCAGCTACGAAACCAACCTGTATCGCCTCCATTTGTGCCGTGGATGCAGCGGTACTCATGTGAAGATGCCTCTTCAGCTCTTCCCATACGGAAAGTGGGGTTTCTGTCCTGGTGAAGTCGCCTTTGTATTGATGTATTCATGTTAAAGACCCCCATCGTGTCGCCGTTGTCAGACAGCCGTGCAGCCCATGGGATGCCGTGGCCGACACTCTTCCTTTTTACATCTTTCAGAGCAGGATTGCAGCGGGGCGCAGCCGTGTTGCTGTGGCACTGCTCAGCCCCACTGCAGCACACTGTGGGCACAGGAGCCCTGCAAAGCTCTGCCGTCTTCTTGAGAGCAAAGATGGAGAAATGAGGAAAATTCCAGAAGCTTGAGAGCCCTGCCTGCACCCATAAGGGCAGGGGGAAGGAGCAGAATAAACACTTTATTGTGCTTGATGAATGGCTTTTATCTCAAAGGATGTTCTGAACTGCTGGGAAGGAGATGCAGCTCCGCTCAAGTTTGTCTGCAAGGCTGCTGCTTCTGTAACAAAGTGTTAAGCAACAAATGCACGGCATATTCATACACTGTGCTTTGGATAGAGGCAGCCTCACAAAGGCACTTTCAAACGTTCAAGGCCTCCTTTTGTGCTGGTTTCCCTCTGGCATCCCACTGCTGCTTTGCTCTCCACCTCCAGCAAGCGGAGCGGAGCTGGGTGCTGATGGGGCTGTGCCTGGGGGTGGCAGCTTCTGCTGCAGGCCCCTTCCTGCCACCCATGCTGCAAACTCTGCTGCTGTTTTCTTCTCCCTCTTTTTCTTCTTTTTTGTTTGTGAAGTTTCCTACTGATTCCTCATGGTTTTTCAGGTTTATCTTGCTTCCAGCTCACATGAGCTTCTTCTGAAATGTCTCTTTCAGAATGAATGAAGCTGGACATTAGCAGTGCTTCTCTTACTGTTGGGTTTTGGTTTGTTTTGCCTCTTTTACCTGGAAGATTGTGTCACTGCTGTGTAATAGGGAGAAAGGACCCATGTGGGGAGCTCTCCTGGGGTTGCTGCTCACAATTACTGGTGAAATGAACTGCAGCACATACAAACTCTTTTCTTGTAGCCCAGAAATATCTTCTCTAAGTTTATTCTCTGGTTATTAGCAGTGGCTGTGGAAGTTAGTTGAGAAAAAAGCAAAGGGAGGGCTGTCTGTTCAGGTGCTGTTTGGAGAGGCACCCCCACGGGGAGGGCTGTGCCATTCTGTGGGTACAGCAGTCGTCTGTGGGTAAATCCTTACGCCAGCACCGGGAAAAGGAGCCAGTGAAGAAAACTGCCATGGGAAGAATCCTGCAGGAGATGGAGCTGAAGGAGGCTGCAGTGAGCTGTGGGGCTGCCATCCCTCGGGTGTGCTTTACCTGTGCATTCAGGGCAGCGAGAGCTGGCCTGGGGAGGGCAGCGTGCAGGACAAGGCCGTTTCCTCACTGTGATGTTGCGGATTGCTCTGAAGAGAGGAGTCAAATGAGTTTGACACGATGAATATTCATGTAGTCGCTCCCTCCAATCGCTTTTTTCCTCCGCCACGGGAGGAGTGGGAGTGCAGAGATGTTTCTTGGCTCTCGAAGTCATGGATAAGGGTCTTGTCAGCAACTGCCTTTCTGCTAATCCTTTCTATTAGGGGAAGGATGTTGTAGCTGGACGGCGTTCTCCATGCTCTGACTCGGAGGGAGGGATTTCAGGGGAAGCACAGCCGAGTGCTGTCAGCCATCCCAGTAAGAACCCGCATGGATTTTGGGGCGCAGTTTCGAAGCAGACTGCAAAAATGCATCGCTGCATCCCGCAGCATCCCAAAGCACTGCGGAGCTGCGTTGGCTCCCCAGGGCTCTGATGGATGTGACAGATGTCCCCTGGCCTGCCTGTTCTCTAAAGCTTGCAGGAAATTGCAGTCTGATAAGTGAGGCAAGTTGCAAGTCCTGTCTATTGTTCCTTATCGTCTGAGGGTTGTTTACAGCCCCATCTTGTTATCCCATCTCCCACACGCTCCTCTGACCTCACCTACTTGTTTGGTCCTCTGTGTGTGGCTCCTGCTGTGGTGGCAGTGGTGATCTCTCCGGGTTGGTTGTTAGCAGATGGTGTGGATTTGTGGACACGAAATGCTGTTTTCCAGATTCGTTGTCATCTATTTGTGATCTTTTTTCACGTCACGCTTCCCTAAAACATCCCTTGAAAACATAGAGCCCCGATAGCAGGTGGCTTCTGAAAAGCTAAGATCCATCCTGAATACTGACTGGTTCTTGTGTGTTTTCTTCCCAGAAGAATTCAGAGAACATGGGATGTTGATCCAGAAAACTAGTTCAGAGTTGGATGAAGTTTGCGAGTGAGCCTCAGATTTCTCCTTCAGTCGGTGTGAGAGCAGCGCACAGCTGTGGGACGCACTGCCCTGGGTTGGCTCAGGAAACCTGCAGCACAACTGGGCTTACCTTCAGGGGAGCACAGAGTGTCGCAGTGTCCTTCCCACTCGTGCAGAGTTGCTGCTGCTGTTCACCTCCAAATGCAGCGTTCTCACCGACAAGTGCATTCGAGGCCAAGTGAACGCAGGAGCGATGCTCCACGCACCGAGGAACATGTGTGAGAGGCATTGGGAAAACCAAGGAAATATTTACACTGGGAGGGGATTGTTTACAGTGCAGTTCAAACAGTTGACGTTAGTTAGAGCAGCCGGTCTGTGCAATATTCTGCTCTTCTCAGGAGGGTCAGGCATAAGGAAAGGATCAAACAGGGCGAGCAGGGCCGTCCTTGGACGGTCCGGAATATCTAACAGCTGCACTTAGGTTAGGTGGTGAGAAGAATAAGCAACTGTGAGTCAGTCTCGTGGTTGAAGTCGAGGTCAGGGTGGACTCTGGGGTAGCAGCAGTGCGTGGACACCTCTGTTCATGGAGATGTTGGCCCTTCTTACTGATGTTTGGCTGGTCCCAAAGCCCACGTGTGCTGCGGCGTGACAGGTTGTCAGTAACACACGAGTGCAAGTGAACGTTTTGGATGTGTCTTTTGTGCTGGGATAAGGGAATACAACCGAGGTACTGATGTCATGATGGTCTGTGTGGCTGTCGAGCTGGGAATTTGCTTTCAAACTGCTTTGTGTTACAGTATCTCCCCCAGCATGCTTTGTAGGTATACCACATATTGTTTTAATTTAAAACCAGCCTGTCTCTCTTGTTCTGTTTTTAGCATGGCTGACAAGAACAGCACCCTGAAATGCACGTTCTCTGCTCCTGGCCACAGCACCACTCTACTGCAGGGACTGGCCTCGCTCCGAGCTCAGGCTCAGCTGCTTGATGTCATCCTCACTATAAATAATGAAGTGTTTCAGGTTCATAAAGTTGTCTTGGCTGCCTGCAGTGACTATTTCAGGTGAGAATCTGATAGGGAAGCAGGCACTGTTACCTCTCCCCTTGGTTTCTGTTTCCCCATCCTCTCCTACCCCGACCTCCCCACCGTGCCCCAGCATCACTCCCCACAGCCCTTTGAGGTATGGTTTGCACCACACGTGTCAGTGGGATTCCCTGGAGGCGTGTGGAGCTGTGGGGTCTGTCCCTCTGCGTTCTGATGAGGTTGTTCTGCCGCAGCCCCTGGGCTGAGACCCATCTCGAGGGCAGATCTTGAAGCCACCCCGAGGAGGATGAGGCGTTTTGTGCGTGTGTTCCCCAGCCCATAGGGAACGGCTGTCCCTCTCTGTGTCTGTAGAAAGCCAAAGCATGGAGATGAGCTTCCTTTGCCAAATGAAGGCACGGTGAACCAATTGCAGAGCAGGGAGTTCAGTCTAAAGTGAAAAATGGAGTTCATCCATCTTGCCTCCATTAAAGTCTTGTCTGACAGTTCTGTGGCACGGGGTTCTCTCCCCATTCAGCAGCCCCTTGACACGCAGGTTCCTTCCTGACCTGAGCAGGTGACCAGGAGCACGGCACGTAGGCCTCGAATATCCCAGTTCTTCAGCTGCTCCAATGGTGTCCTTCTTAAGGACCCTCACATTTTCCAGGCTGTTCCCTTCTCTCTCCCTTCTGACTCCCCTCGGTAACATAAACCTTCCGAGCTTATCGCTCTCCCTAACAGGCATGCAATTAATGATGGAGCTGATCTTCCACCAAATGCTAATAGCACTATTTGTATTCATAAATGCTGTATGCAGTGCCACTGTTAGTGTGTTTTCCCTTGTTGAAATGTAATTGCTGAGTGGGTTTCTTGCTATAAGGTCTGTGGCATTAAGTAAGGTTGTCCTGGGGAACAATGGCAGAATAATCTAGCTTTTGAAAATGCACTTTATGCAGAAGAGGGGAGGGAAAAGAGTGAACTTGAAGCATTTATACCATCAGCGTTTTAAAACCATAACACTTTTTCAAGGAATGGCATTTTATTTGGTGGTTTGTCTTCATCATGGCAACGGCGATGCTTTCCTTTGCTTGTGCACAGCCAGCTCTGTACAGCTAATGCATGAGCACACACACATGCCTGCATCTCCTCTGGGGCAGGGGATCAGGCAGCTTGCTGTTTGGTGACATGGGATCTGCAGGGGGATTTTAGCAGAGTGCTCTCATCTGCTGTATGGACAAATAATTGCGAACAGCGTTCCTGGTCACTCGGTTACAGAAAACTGATTTCATGTGCAGATATTTCCTTATTTAGGTCGTTTAGCTTTCTGTAGGGTTGTGCTGGACGGCAGCAGTTCTTCTAGCCTGGTTTGGACAGGAAACTTGGAACTCCTGTCTTTTGATAGCACTCCCAAGGTATTTCTCTATTCCTGTGTTGATGCTAAAGAGGAAGAAGGTCTGTTCAGCATTTGCTCTGAGCAATTTGTATCTTAAAGTCGTTGCAGCTCTGACAGTGTGCCTTCACAGTGAATTCACCTCTCAGACATGAAAAAGTAGGTTATCAATGGTGAAAAAATGGCCTAAAATGTGCAGGCAGTTTGAACGGTCTTTGGTGTGACAGCCTTTGTAGGCTTGCTGTGATGTTTGTACAGCGATGCTGGGTGGTGAAACCACGTGTCACCGTTCTTCAGCAACCTGGTTTGACTTTGCCTTCCGCAGAATCGCTCTGCTGCTGCTTGTTGAATGCTACACACAGCGCAAACCTTTGCCCCCCAGCCACCAATATGTAACAAAAACTGCTGAAACGTAATGTAAACCTATAAAAAACAATGTGCACTTATGTCCCCATCACGCCTGCAGGCCCCGTGCCTGGGAAACGCAGCCCTGCTTCAGAGCAGCAGTTTATGAGATGCCTGCGCAGTGCTCGGCGTGGTATGCGCTTCCTGTGGAATTTAGAAGCCTCCCAAGGAGGTGATCGAGGGCCTAATCTCAGCCTGGCCTGGTCAACTGATGTGCTTGCAGCTGTGCTGTAAGAAAATCGTTGTGTTTTTTTCTTTTTTAATTGCCTTCCAGCCCCCTGCTGTCGTACTGCAACATAACAGACGTTTTCTGAAGTGGTCGCAACTCCTGTTTTCATAAGGCATTGGGAAGGAGCCTTGGAGAGGAGGTTCTGTTGTAATGACCAAAGCCTTGTGTAAATTCTGTTTGCAATGGCAGCGTTGAAGCCCTTGGCAAACTCACCTCCGGTGCGATGGCGTTGCCTGAAGGCCCCTCTCAGGCCAGCTCAGGGGCTCGCTGACTTCTGAGCATGGATGTCTCCCCAAAGTATTTTCTTCTTTACGCTCACAAATCCTGCATAGTTGAAAATCAGGAAGTTAGAGTTACGGATGCCAGCCTGTGCTGCTGCAGATCCCACTGTTGCTTTTGGCTGCTGAATATCAAGGCTCCTTTGGTCCAGCACACAGCGCTCCCTGCTCTGATGGCTCTGACCACTTCCTGGCGCTTTGTCCTGGGAACCATTCCTGCATCCAGTGCCGGTGAAGCAGCACTGACAAACCCAACTGCGATAGCTGAATGTGACTTCTCAGTGCGTTGTTTATGCAAGCTGTATATCAGTAATTGCATGCTCTTTTTTTTCTTTTTTCTCCCGGCTTTTAGAGATTTAGCCTTGATTTATTCCCCCCCCCCCCATCCTTCCTAAGAGGTTCAGTATGTTTAAAAAAAATGAGAAGTATTACATCATTGACGCGCTATTAAAGAGGGGGAAATTTTTGTTTGTGTTCTTGACCTCCAGGGCGATGTTCACAGGCGGGATGAGAGAAGCCAGCCAAGACGTGATCGAACTGAAAGGTGTATCTGCAAAGGGACTGAAACACATCATAGACTTCGCGTACAGTGCTGAAGTGACTCTGGATCTTGACTGCATTCAGGACGTTCTGGGAGCTGCTGTCTTCCTCCAGATGGTGCCTGTCGTGGAGCTCTGCGAGGAATTCCTGAAATCTGCCATGAGCGTAGAAACGTGTCTCAATATCGGGCAGATGGCCACCACCTTTAGCCTCGCCTCCTTAAAGGAATCCGTCGATGCATTCACCTTCAGGCATTTCCTCCAGATCTCCGAGGAGGAGGATTTCCTCCACCTGCCTCTGGAGCGCCTCGTTTTCTTCCTGCAGAGCAATAAGCTGCAAAGCTGCAGCGAGATCGACCTGTTCCGCGCCGCCGTCCGCTGGCTGCAGTACGACCCCACGCGCCGTGCCAGCGCCAGCCAGGTGCTCTGCCACATCCGCTTCCCGCTCATGAAGTCCTCCGAGCTGGTGGACAACGTGCAGACCTTTGACATCATGGTGGAGGACGTCCTGTGCCGGCAGTACTTGCTGGAGGCCTTCAATTACCAGATCCTGCCTTTCCGGCAGCACGAGATGCAGTCCCCCCGCACCACCATCCGCTCCGACGTCCTGTCCCTCGTCACCTTCGGCGGCACTCCTTACACCGACAACGACCGCACCGTCAGCTGCAAGGTGTTCTGCCTGCCTGACGCCGGCGGGCGCCAGTTCAAGGAGCTGACGGAGATGGAGGTGGGCAGCAGCCATTCCTGCGTGGCCGTGCTGGACAACTTTGTCTACATCGTAGGGGGGCAACACCTGCAGTACCGGAGCGGCGAAGGAGCGGTTGATATCTGCTACCGTTACGATCCTCACCTCAACCAGTGGCTGCGAATCCAGGCCATGCAGGAGAGCAGGATCCAGTTCCAGCTGAACGTCCTGCACGGCATGGTGTACGCCACGGGCGGGAGGAACCGCTCGGGGAGCTTGGCTTCTGTGGAGAAGTACTGCCCCAAAGACAACGAGTGGACTTACGTGTGCTCCCTGAAGCGCAGGACGTGGGGGCACGCCGGGGCCACGGTGGGGGACAAGCTGTACATATCGGGTGGGTACGGGATTTCGGTGGAAGATAAAAAGGCCCTGCACTGCTACGACCCGGCCGCGGATCAGTGGGAGTTTAAAACCCCGATGAACGAACCCAGAGTCCTGCATGCCATGGTCAGTGCAAATAATAGGATTTACGCTCTGGGAGGCCGCATGGACCACGTTGACCGTTGTTTCGATGTTTTGGCCGTGGAATATTATGTGCCTGAAACAGACCAATGGACAACAGTGAGCCCCATGCGCGCAGGTCAGTCGGAAGCCGGCTGTTGTTTGCTAGAAAAAAAGATTTACATCGTAGGGGGGTACAACTGGCATCTGAACAACGTCACGAGCATTGTGCAGGTGTACAACACAGAAACTGATGAATGGGAAAGGGACCTGCATTTTCCAGAGTCTTTTGCTGGGATAGCATGTGCTCCTGTGATACTGCCACAGATCACGACGCAGAGATAACTGAGCTGCTGTGCTGGCCGTGGGGTCGCCTCGTGTTGCATGTCGTTGGGATGGCGTGTCGTTTTCCTTGTTTGCAAATGGCATCGTGCGTTTTCTGGGCGAGGGAAGGAGAAAAATAGCTTGCGTTCCCTCCTCTGTGAAGTCCCTCCTCTTCTCTTACATAGTGTTCTGGCAAGCGTGCTTTGTCAGAAGCACTTGTCAGCTAGTTAGACTTAGCAGATGTTACAGCTGGAAAAAGCTTTTCTCTTTTTTTCTTTATCTGAAAAGTGTGTGTGTGGGGAGGGGGGTGGGAATGCATTCTGCCAACTTTCCATATTTTTAACAATATTACACATTGCAAACATTGACAGCTCAGGAGTCACTAAGTACTGTGGTATGTTTCAAAGAGTTCAGGTGTGATTTTTACTAATAGCTCCAAAAATCATTGTGTGTCGATTTGTTGTTTTTTAGCAAAGAAAAAAAAACCAAAACCTGTATAACACACTGACCTCCAGAAGCAATAAAGAGACAGCGGGAGCTGGAAGAGCTCAGGTGCTTGGGCTGGGAAAGCAGATCCTTGCTTTTCAGAGGTGATTTGCTTTGTTTTTCCCCTCGTACAAGGGGAATGCTTACCCCTGCACACCTCTAGCCTCTGTTGGTTCTTCCCTGTTTGGATTACACCACAATTCCAGATCCCCTGCTCACCCCCTCCGGACATCAGCATGATATTCTTGTCCAGAAATTCTCCCTTAACTGGGGCATCCTTGGTTCACAGCACTAAAGCCATGTTGATAACTTGATCACACAGAAACGAGCACGATTTTTTATAGCTGCCAAAAATTTGTTTGGCTTCACTGGCAATAAGAGCTCGGCAGCTGCTGTCTGGGCTGACCCAACACAGGCTGAAGCAGGGAGCACCCAGGGGCTGCGCAGGACCTGCCTGCACGCATCACCCAGCCCGTTCTGCACAGGGAGGTGGGTGCTGCTCATTCACCTGCTGGAGGGTTTTCTCTCTTGACTTGTAAAGAGGAGCCTGGGTTTCGTGACGAGATGGAAGTCCAGGCGAATGGCCTCTGTTGCTGGTGGGTGTTTTAAATTAAGAGATTGGTTTCAAGACGGCTCTGTCATTTTTGTGAAATTCTGCTGCACAGAATACTGTTATTTCTTGAACTGTCCTTTCCTCCAAGCCATTTTTTTTCTAATTAATTTTGACTGAGAAATGAAGTTGAAGTTTCTTCCTTTACCAGGCATTCTGTTTCAAGGGCTTTGTTTTGTACCTGTGGAAGTTGGGTTTTGATGGAGGTAGCCTTCTTTTCAGAGAAACTGTTGCGTTCTGCTGGTTAAATAAATGCCGTGCTGTAACCCTTAGAGACAACGTCTGATGTCTGTGTGGCGGATGAATCACTCATCAGGGCTGTGCAAAGCATGAACTCCGTACCTCAGATTCACTTAAGGATATTTCTGACCATGGAAGCACTTTTGAGTGCTCAGACCTCAGCTCATTTCTGCATTTGAAATTTCAGTTAAAATGATGCACAGTTTGGTTTGTTTCTATCTATCTGCTGGTTTGCCAATAATAAATGGATGGAAAGTGCTCGCTGGTGTTCAGAATGCTGAAGTCAAGTGGGCAAGCTCTGCTTCTGTGGTGTGCAGTGCAGCCAGCTCTCCTGGTGCCACCGCTCCCATCTGTGGGCACTGCAGAGCAGGTGCTGAGAACGGTTTCCACGTCCTCTCGCTGGGACTTGCAGCACTGTGCTGCAGGGTTCCACCTCTCCTGGTTACCAGGACGTTCTTTTGATAGCGATATAAACAATTATTTTTTGTAACGTGGCCTGGAAGGACTCCAGCTGCTCTGAATTGAGCACAGGCTGGCAAAAGTATTTGTGACAGTGGTATGATCTGTACTGATGGCGTTTGTTCGACTCCTGTGAAGTGCAAAGCTGTGGCTCTGGGCCGCTCCATGCATACCCTGTGTGGTATCCTGAGAATAAACTGCTTCGATTCTCTGCGCTGAATGAATCTGATGGCTGGATCGGGCTCTTGGTGAACGCTGAAGTGATCTGGCTCTGCGGATGGACTGGAGCAAGTGCAGCTGAGGATGCTCTGCCTGAGGAGCAAGGAGGCAGGGCTCCGCTCTTCTTCAAGAATGAACAAAGCCAGCTAAATGTTTGATTGCACTCAGAGCCATTTATTAGTCTCAGAGCTGCAGTAAATGCTGTCGGGGTAAAACCTGATTTGGTATGTTTGAAAATACCTTTGAACAGATGGAGACCGGCGAGAGCACAGCATCGTTAGCTCAGGTATTCGCGGTGCGTGTGCCGTCAGGGCCGCTGTCGGGGCTGGGATAAGAGCTTCTGTCTTCTCTGATGTTTTATGGGCCTGAAATTGTGCTTAAAACTATAAAGGAAGAAAGCACTAGAACTCTTGGCAGGGTGCAGAACAGCTAGAGCTGGGGAATGTCTGCATCCTATTAATGGTGTCACTGACCCTTTTCCAGAGGGTCTGCCGGCTCGGCAATCCACTGTCATTTCTCCCTGCACAGAACCTCACTAATTCGTGCAGACGTGGCCCAGCTTTTGGGAGGAGGTCTCGGAAGTTTAGAGGCAGCAGAACATCTCATTTCTTTGATTTACAGTGAAGGAGGACACTCCCACCAGCACTTGGTAGCCTGGTGCTGATGTAAAATGATGCTATGCAACAGAACTGCTCAGGACCTCTTGTAAGCCACATCAAACCTATTCAGATGTTTTCACTTCCACGTCTGTGATAAGCTCGGGAGTTGCTGAAACTCTGCAAACTTCAGGAGCATTTATCATACTATGATTATTGAAGCCAGACTACTGTCAGAATAAATAAAACATGTTTCCCAGTGCAACTCTAATTATGATTTTGAGCCAGTTGTGTAATGCGCAGAACTTTTATTTACAATAAATCTTCCAGTTGCTTGCATAAATGAATGAGATTTCACCACTTGTGACTTAAGGACCGGGAGAAATGGATGTGGCTGAATAAATTTACTGTCTAGCCTGGTGTGTCGGCATGTCGGGAGGGTGAGGAGCAGAGCTGCTAGGAGGGCTCACTCCTCTTGCATTTCACCTGGGAGCGCATACGTAACACAGATATTTCTTCCCTGAAGTTATTTTTCTGCAGAGACAGCTTAGATTCTGCTCTGCATTTTAATACTGAGTAGGCACAGTGTCAGCCCACAGGCTGCAGAACTTTTGTTTCTCGTTCCAAGCTCATAACTGAGCTTCAGAAACACGCGTTCAGTGCTTTCCAGATTAATATTTCAACTTCAGGGAGTTCTGGAGAGGAGTTTGAAGCTTTGCTCACGGGGTGGTCGTGGTTTCAGCTGCTCTAACGCTGCTGCTCCATCAGGTGAACACGAAATGGGCTTTCTGCTTGGAGACAGCTGCTGGTTTAGCTCTGCAACCTGAAATCAGCCTCAGATTGTAAGACAAAGGAGTGAGATTTCATACAGAGCAACGGTGGGGGCCTCCAGAGAGCAGCATCAGAGTAATGTGTGCAGCTTGCAGTGGAAAGAAGAAAAGCTGTTAGAGCAGAAGTATTCAGAGGACTTTATAAGCTGAAGAGAGCAAATCAAAGGTTCTTGTCTTGATCCCTGAGGCTCTGCAGTTGCTATTTCACACCCAGCCCCCTGTCACATAATTAGCTCCAACTATTTTTTATGGCTTCTTAAAAAATGAAAATCTTTTTTGCTTGTTTATGCAGGCTACCAGCCAGTGCTTCTGGCTACCCTGCTTTATATCTGCAGCAATCCCTTTGAACTCACTGGAGTTGCAGTGCATTAACACTGGAGAGCCTAGAGCAGAATCCATCCCTGCAGATGGATGTAACATTTTTGATCTATGTCTTCCGGTCACAACGCTTTGAAAATGCACTTAAAGCCCAGTTTTACATGTGGTTATCTGGTGGTTCTAATCAGACTTCTAATCTGTGTCTCCCTGCAAGGTTTGCAATTGTTTGCTTGAGGTGCTTCCTTTTTCCTTTGGTTGCTGGTTATTTTCCCCTCGCCGTGGGCTCTGGTTGAACTGCGTGCTCCCCGTGGGTGCAGATTTACTGCTTGGCACTATCAGTACCTGCACTCAGTATTACTGCCTCCAGGACAGCGGCTCACAACTGGATTTAGAAGGAACGTATGGATTTTGCTGAGGTTTGGAAAAGAGACATTTGCCCTGTGGTGCAGGTAGCATGTCTGGACCTTAATTTTGCACGCTTTGGGGATCTCACATGTTTGTGCCAAACATACGTGCTTGCTGTTTCTTAGGAAGAAAACCAAAGCATATACCAGGTAGAAAAGGTTCAGGTTTAGGTCCAGAGATGCCCCCCATGTGCACGTATTCGCTCACTCATGAGCTGTGCATTCTGTGCAGCACGTGTCCCACGCTGCTTGCTGCAGCCCTTCTCTGCTTTCCATGGGGCCATGCTGTGCTTGAGGCTTTTTCGTGTGGTATCTGAGTCTTTCTGACAGACTGGTGTGTTCTTTCAGGCTGCAGCTGCTGTTCTTACTGGGGGTAAGAGGAGGAAGGAAAGGACTCCATCAGCCCTGCTGGTAGTATTAATCTAGCAGTGTGTCCACCCACTGTAGCAGGGCAGCAAGCCTTGATCCCAGGCCAGATGTTCGGCAGGTATTCAGCCGAAGGCTTAAAGCTTGCAGTGGAGATCCTGCCATTTTCACAGTGAGAAACAAGTTGTTACATTCCTTTTGGGGATTTTGCAGAGCAGCAATTAGAGTTGCAGTGAACGACTCGCTGCTCCCATCCGAGAGGAGAAAGGAACTTCTTAGAAATGCTGCATCACAGGAGAAAAGCTTCGGTCTCACAGCGCACTGCTCTGCTGTCCCGGGAAAGCAGTCCTCACGGAGCAGTCTGTGCTGCTCTTGTGTAGGGCAAAGAGAGTGAAATCAGTCACAGGAGCCAGCGAAATGGGACTGTGGGGCTGCTTCCTCACCTGCTGAGCAATGGACTTTGTGTGGCACTCCTGCTCTACTGAAACGATTGTAACTAAGAGGTGCCTGGATTGGACTGCGGTGTTTGTCTCACTGGTCGTCGAGTTTTCATGCAAACATTATCAGTATCTGCAAACAGATTTTCCCTCACCCTTTTTAATATCTTCAGCGTAAAAAAGCACAAGATGAGCCTTTAACTTACAGGTAAACATATGTGCTAAGGCCTGCAAATAGCAGGGGCTGGTTTTACCAGCAGGGTTATAAACCAGAAGAGTAGTCAGGGAGTTAACTATGTGAAGCCTATTAGCCACGACTGAAACAAATGGTTAACAGTTTGATATTTTTGCTGTAGCGTATTTCTGCTTGAAGGTAGCAGCAGGGAGATCTGCCCCTGATTTGCAATGCTGTGATCTCTCAGTGGTTAAAAAGTATTTCCCAGTTTCCTGTTTGTTTCAGCAACGTGCACAAATCTTAAGGGCGCCTCACCTTTGAGTGCTGACTGTGAGCGTGCCTGCATCGAAAGCTTTGCCTCCTATTCAAGGGTTATCTTGGGAAGGACGAAAAGTGGCTGCTGCTTTATCAGCTTGTGTCACCTTAGCATCATGGGAATACTTCTTGCTTCAGCGTGGCACGAAGCCAGGCCTCGATTCTGGGAAAAATAACCGGACTAGAATCCTCTGTGGGGTTGCCAAGGTATTACAGAGCACCAGAAGATAAGCCTTGTAGAAATGAGAATAATATCTTTCAGCAGCCAGTGTTTGCTTTCTTTCTGTAAGTTTAGAATTTACAGGGAACGGTGGAGAAACTAAAGCTGGAAGGATGGTGGTGGCATCGTCAGGGAAAACTGGTGCTCAGAGCAGGGATCTCCCCACACTCCTTGCAGGAGAGCAGAGCCAAGCATTGCATGTGACCCCAGTTCGGTTTGCTTGGGCTGCTCATGGGATTTGATGCGTGGTGCAGAGGTGCTGATTTAAGTGCTGCCCTCTGGAAGCGAGGATCTCTTACATTAAAGAAAAACAGGAGAAGTGCTGGGTGAAACAAGAAAGTGTTCGCCCTCTGACAGCGCGAGTTGGAGCTTAGTTCAAAATAACACTGAAACGACGGACTCTGTGGGGTTCACAGGATATTCTTTGGGGGTAGTGGGAACGTCAGTCAGCGGGAACATTAAGCAGGAAGCGCGAGAGATCAAAATCTTTGTGTCTGTAAGCAAAAGGGAAAAAAAAACGGCCAGCTTACTTGTGGATCAAGGCACGGCTCACACTGCTGTGCTGTTGTGTAAGCTGTTCAACCTCACACCTTCCTCTGGAGCCTCTAAGGGAGAATAGGGAAGTAGCTGGATCTCATCTGCCAGCGCAATTCCGAAGGATCCAGAGGATACCAAACAAGTGATAAGTAAACAAAGCCTCCCCCCTGCAACCCGCTCGCTCTCGGCCGCATCTGCTTTAAGAAGCTGCAGCTTGCTCAGTAAGGAGTTGTTTGCAACAAAAGCAGATGTGAGCACAACACCCCAGTCCTCCAATGACTCTTTGTTTGCTTCGGAGCAAAGCTCTGATTCTCATTTACAAGAAACTTTTTCATAACACGTCTGGAAGGCTGGGAGAGATAGAACTGCAGTCTCAGGGGAA